ATTAATCATTTAAAAATCCGAAGCATAAAACATAAATTTGATTGTCACTAAAATCTAATTATAAACCCAATCATATCAAGTGGAAACATTCTAAAATTTTATTATTCATTTGCTATAGAGCACCCAATAAACATCCGAGACAATTTACATAAGATCAATATTTCCATAATATAAAGTATTTGACCAAAACATGATTTTCAACCAAGCTCAACTTTGCCTTTTTATTTATCAATAACAATATTCAGCGTAATATTTGATGAACTAAGAAGTTCAACATGATAAACAACTCTAATATGTAATTCAAATAATCTAAGAATAATAATAAACATCATAGATTATTGTAATGTCTTGTAATTATTGTAAAATAAAATTTCCTGAATAAAAGTTGGCTTAATAGTAAATAAGACATTTAACTAAAATAAGCATTAACAGAAAGTTCGATATTACAACATTATAAACATAACTTTTCCCATACGCACAAATAATATTATGCTAGTTTAATTTTTTATAAATCTCTTTTTTTTTCTTTTCAATTATTACCAAACATATATGGAAGCTCTTCTTTCAGTTTTAGAACACATGATGTATGTCAGGTTAGGTTTATAGGCCATCATATAAAAACAAACCTTTGTTGCCCTACTCTTATAATTATCATAAGCATATATATTAGCTTGAGGAACCTTTTGTCTCCACATAGGATCATCTTTATCACCCTGTACAACTAACATGGATATAAATTTGAGGACCATTTTTCCCTATCTGCATAGATTATCAAAAATATATTAATTATGCCCCAACTTTTGTAGCCCTCTATCTGTACAGATTATCATAACTATATCATTGTCAACCTATTCACATATCACACCCTTCTTAACTTCATTTATTTTCATTTCTAAACATTTGAATACAAATAATCATCATATTTCCCATGCAATTAAATATGTGCATCAGTTTGAAGCTTACAATTATAATCGTCTTATAATGAAAATACGACACTTTAACAAAATGCTAACATACCTTTTAGTGCTTTTAAATGTAGGCTTTTCAATCTTCAGGAAAATTTACAAAACTATTTTATCATGCGTGGTAGAGCAACAATGTGCCCTTTGCAAAATGATAACTTATAATACCTTACATATACGTTTAACTACAAATATAATGAAATACATAGAACTAAGGTAAAATGTACTTTCCTAATCAAAAATTGAATACCTTACCCAACTAACGAAATACAACTAAAACAAATTCCTCGTTATAATTATCTCGATCCTTTCCTTTTGTATACAACCTAAAAAAAAAAATTTGCAATTTAAAATTGCTGACCTCCACATATAATTAATCCACATAAAAATTCAATTAAGACCAACAAAAGCAATGAATGAAACAATGCGAGTTCATGTAAATTGAGGTCAGAACATGTCAATCATTTTTGAAGTCACTTGAAACAATGCTCATTTGTAAAATAGAATTCATCGTTGAGTTTAGAGCATCAGAATTACCCCAAGATAAATCTTTCGTGATAAAAAAGAGCAAACACTAGGAAAACAATAGATTATTGGAATGACGCACGATTTAGACCCAAATCATCACGACCATCACCAAAGTTGATTAAATGAGATCCATTTGCAAAACAGATCATGTCGATGAGTTTGAAATATCAAAAATACCGAGGAAAACAACAGACTTTTGGGGCGACGCACGCGATTTAGACCCAAATCATCATGACCATCACTAAAGTTGCTCAAATGGGCTCCATTTACGAATCGCATCAACGAGCCTGAACTTCAAAAATATCTAGACAACACCAATATTCTTGGATTTTTTCATGAATCAGTGGCACATAAATTGAGATGCTATAAATAAATAATAATAATAATTCCTCAATTTTTTCCTCATGAAGACACCGCCAATCCCTACTTTCCCCATGATTTTTTGCCCAGTCCACCCAAGCAAAAACCTCCACCTCAATTTAAATAATTAAATAAAAAATGTCTAATCAATACATATTAATCTCTCTATTATTCTTCTCTAGCAGCCTCCCTTCTTCCCGTCAATTCTCCTCATGCGAGAATCGAACCCACCTCATCTTCTCCCAAACACTCCCCTCGGCTCCCTCTTCCCACCTCTTTCTCGTCGGCAATGCTCAAAACAGTAAATTGTGAGCCGACTTCTCTGCTTGCTATTCGCGCTCCAGTTTGCTGATTTCTCCATCTCTGACTCTCAGTTTCATAAGCAGCAACTCACAGTTGGGCGCTTTCATTCCAACTACCCCTTTGTTTCCTGAAAACTCTTCACCACTTGGACCCTCACTCCTCTCTTATACAGTGCTCACGCCATAGACAAGAACTCTCACCTTTGCTTACATGCTACGGTGGTTACCAAACCCTTGTCTCTCTCTCTCTCTGAATCATATGTAGATCAAGTGAATAATGCAATAATTAACATTTTAAGAGATAAAATGTCAATCAATCTCAGTGTGTTTAGTCTGTTATGATGCACAAGATTCTTTGCAATATTAATGGCAACTCGGTTGTCACGGAATAGCTTTATCATAGTCATCCATGTCAAACATTGTAGGAGATATTAAACATATTCTTCTTTTTTTTTTTTATTTACTTGTCTAATGGGACTATATTCTACTTATTGTTATATATGCTCAAACCACCGAAGAATATTTTAGTAATATTATCTTCAATAAATGCTATTACAACCATCCCTCTTATATAATCATTCATCAACTTATTCTAATTATCTTTGACAGACATCCATCGTAGCATGTTGACTTTTGTATTCTAGATTATCAACAAATTAGGTAAAGACGTGATACAAAGATTTCTCATAATCAGTTTAGTTTTATGTTGAGCAATTCTACTATGGAACTTATACATTTATTGAGAGGTTTCATGGAGAAGTACAGAAAGAATAAGGAAGATCTACATATGATTTTTATTAATTTAGAAAAAGCTTCTGATAAGTTTCCAAAAAAAAAAATTCTTTGGAGAATTGTAGAAGAGAAAGTTGTTGATATGACTTATATTCAAATCATTAAGGATATGTATACTAGAGTTGTTACTTGTGTTCGAATAGAAGTAGGATTGACCAAGTATTTTTCTATTTCAGTTGTATAAAAAATTATCTTAATTTATTGAAATTAAATAAAAAATAAGACACTCAATAGGACACAATTGATAAAAAGGATTCATGTAGTGACCCCACTTAGTAGGATAAAAGCTTGTCATTGTTGTTGTTGCAGAATATCAACAACTTTTTCTTGCCCAACACTCAAATTTATTATGCATATAAAATTGTCAAAGTCTCCAAAATATCCTCCTGCCAGATGATGCTTCTTTATCATCACCATCCAACCTAAATTCTAGAAGTTAAACCTTTATTGATATCTCAATTATGTTGTGTGATACATTTAAGATATTTAAACCTATTAAACTTAAGCATTGCTTCATTTCCCATTATTATTCATGAATAAATGATAGCATCACCCTTCACTAAAAATGGTATAACATATTGGGTTGTCAAAAAAAACTCGTCATTCACGAACAACTTGTGTTCGATTCGTTAAATAGTTCTTGTTAGATATGTTCGTTAAGCAAGCAAGCCGAAGTAGATCAATTTTTTTAGCTTTATTTATAAGTCAAACACGAACAAAGTTTATTCGTTTATGTTTAGCTCGTTTTGGCTCGAAATAATTAAATAATAGATTAATTTAGAACCTTTTTATATTAATTTTTTATACATATTTAAAAAAAACCTAAATTTTATTATTTTTAAAATTACATGGGAGGTATAATTATTAAAAATATAAGTTCTAATGTTATATATGTACATAGAATTTGGGTGGTATGTAAGTAAATATCCTAAAATAACACTTAATGGATATTAGATATATAAATACATATGAATTGTATTGTAAACATATTAAATTTCCATTTAATAAATTTAAATTCAATTTATCAAATAATGACAAAAAATTTTGACCAGGTTTTTCTCAAAATTAATATCAATTGAAGCAATGTCATTTATAGAGCCCAATGGCCTTTGCAAAATTAAAAAAATAAAATAAAATAAAAATTTGAACTTCATGTAACTAGAGATGTCAGCCGAGCAGCTCCCCATTGCAGAGGGAAGTATCCAAGTAGAAAAGACGGGGACCATTACCATGCTGCTTAATCTCATTCTTAATCCCACATCGGCGATAAAAGAAACCTTAGGCATGAAAGCTTTGTAAAGGCTTTTCAATGGAAAAAAATTTAAGGGTGTGGGTATTCTTTAATCTTAAAAAATGAATAATTTTATTAATTTAATATAATAATCTAACTAATTATATTCTTTAGTTTTATGAGGCTTGAGTTAAATTTGAGCATAACACAAGTTTAATTCGATTTAATGATCCTGGAGCAAGCTGAACACAAAAAGATCATTTACAAGCCATTTCAAACACGAGCCAAACATAAACAAAAAAAAAAATTTAAACAAGCCTTGAGGCTCGCCCAAGTTTGGCTTGTTTACAACCCTACTAACATATGCTCAATCTTTGCTTAATTGGTACAGGATATACATCTTCTAAATATTTTATCTATCTATATATACATTGTTAATTATAAAAATTATAAAGCAAAGAATACAGAACTAAAGGATTGATTTACAATATAGCCAAGTTATAGTGCCATAAGTTATGTTTGATATATGCCCAATAACGACCATGTTCAAGAGGTTTTTAGGAATTGTAAGAATTCCTTTGGCAATGAATAAAAAAGTGAGACGTAATTGCATATTCAGAGTGTCTGAGCATCCAAGTTGTGGCATACCGTGCCACGCATGCATCAGCCCACAGAAAGTGTTAAAGATTTCTAGTTTGGTGGTCTTAGAAGATGCAGAAGATTAAGAACTTGCCAGGACAAAGATAAATACTATCTAATTTAGAGGGTGACCAACTAATAAACGCAAAATTAAAATACAATCATACTATAAAATTTCGCTTATACCTGTGCTCTCCCTAAAGCAAATGTTGGGATGAGAACTTTGCCACCAGCATCAACACATTTATGAACCTAACAATCATCGATAGCAGAACATAAAAAACACAATCGTGTGACACAATCTACAATAATATCATCATAAAAATAAATAAATAAATAAACAAACAGACAAAATGACAACACAAAATATAATACGATATATCATAAGATGGCTTTACAGATGTTTTCCATAATTTTTATCTAAACTCGAAGGCAACAAAACTAATGTAGCTTATTGGGTAAACTACAAAAATCATGTTTCCATGATAAGATTAACAATTGCAGACTAGGCCAAAAAAAATAACGGTCATCATAATTTCAACTCACAACACGGCCTAATTACAACCACAAAAAGTTTCTGAAATTGTCATTCTAGATGTCCAGCCAACATATGCCTCATATTTCACTTGGTATGGTTTTGTGCGAAATAATTAACACTACCCTCTAAGCTACGCTGAAAGTCTGTTGAAACTGATTGAAAAAGGTTCTTTCACATGTTTTAAAGAGCTTTTTGCACCACATTTTCCATCTAAATCGGAGTTTATGATATGGCAGATTTTTTGAGATGAAATCATAAGAAAAAAAAACATTACAAAGCAAAGCCCAAATCCCTGAAATCAGTTTTTGTGAGTTTTATTTATGAGGGCTTCATATGAAGTAAACGAAATTTACATTAGGATCCAAAAAGCTTGTAGCATCTTCCACATTCTATATACATAACCAAGAAAGTCTTTTGACTAGCGATGATGTTAACTGCAATTGATTTCTAGTCAGTCTTTGTTTATGTTTTTCCGAGTTTTACAAAATAAAATTTTCTAAATCCTGCCTTAAGAAAAAGAGAATATTAAATCATACGAACTTTATGCATTACCACTGAAGTATTATTGACAGCATGAACTTCAGATGCAAAGTACCAGGACAAAGAAAAATAGGTACAGCGATGTAAATAGCATTCAAGTGCAATACTTTGCAATAAAATAGCAGAAATAGATGTTGAAACGAGCTGATCTACTCACAGCTTTTAAGAATTCCCTTTCTCGAGCATACTTTGAATCACGAATTGTTGTTGCATAAGTAGATCTTCATGAAAGGAATGCAAAAGTACATATTTATTGAGCAGAACAATAATAAACCGAACAAAAAAGTTAGCAAAAGAGTGTTAATTCGGTAGAAGACGCGCAAAAAAATTATTAAGCACAAATAATCATGCCCATTCCTCCTTTTTCTTTTTCTTTTTTTTTTTTTTGTCAACTGCTCCATGTGCCATAAATACCAATGACCAATTTTGCCTTTATTTAAAATTTGGATTGTTGAAGCGGCCCACCAGGTCCATCAATAATAACCAAATGTACATTAATACTACATGGAAAGTAAACACGAACAAGTGACTATACTATGAAAATACATGAGCTAAAAGAGAATATAATTTATACACAAAACTCTTCTACTATCCATAAATCCAGAAGAAATTACCAGTGAAGTGATTTTACATGTAAACTGTGATGCAATACCTATTCTTATTCCATAAACTGAGGAATGAATCATTCCGTAACACATTTTTCTGCATTTAAGGCTTTGTTGTTGTTGTTGTTGTAATATAGGAACACCTGTGGAAACACTTTCATTTCACATTAGTTTCAAAGAAGCTACGGTGACTTCATCTTACCCACTTTCAGAAGCATTACTTCAAGGTTTACATTTAGCCATTCTGCAAAAGGCATGTCCAACAAATATTGTATAAAGGAAGTAATTATTCACAGTCAATTGTTGGTATAGAATGATTAAATTAAGAAGCTCTTGATGGAAAAATTAAAATGTGTGCTAATCAGACGCAGAACGAGAGAAATTTTAATTGAATTGTATTCTAGTTTGCAATGTACTTTTCAATTTGTGTTTAAAATGTTCTTGAGAACAAGTCCTGTTTTCCCATATTTCTACTTCCTCTTTAGGTTTGGTCAACTGCTGCAAGTTCAAGTCTCCAAAATCACTTTAATTTCATAACATATATCCGTGCAAGAAAAAAAAGAGCAAAAACAAAGAATTATAATGGGGAATGACGGAATGGTCATTGTTATATGTTATAATTTAGTCTTCAGCCATTACCGTCCCCATTTTGTGAGCCAAACGGAGAGCAAAAGAACAGCCTGGGAGGAAAATCAGAAAGTAATTGAAAGAAAAGAGAAAAAGAAACGGAGGAGAAGAAGAGAACCACAAGAGGAGAAGATGAGAAGGAGAAAAGAAGAGGTAGAAAATGAAGGGAAAGAAGAAAAATGGAATAGATGGGTAATAAATTTTCGTTTTTGATTTAAATTTGAATTTTGGTGTTTTTCCTAATGAATCAAGTTCTAATAGGGGTTGTAGGTTTATAAGCTATTATGAAGTAAGATAATATTGAAATTGTTAATTAAAGAAAGCAGTTCCAAGGTCTCCAATTCGATGGGGTAAACCGTCAAGTCGATAAGATTTATAAATTATAACACACAAAGTGAAATTTCATAAATCTTTTGCATAAGTATTTATGTGTAAAATAGATTAATGGTTGCGACGCAATAGAAACTTTTCATATTCATGAAGGCATCTTTACGGTCAACTATTCATGAGTGACTGCACAATAATTTTGTTAATCCAAACTCGCAATTAAGAAAATTATGACTGCAAATGTTTTTAACTATTAGAGATATTTTAAAATAAAGACATTTGGAATCTGTAAATTGCACATTTGTATACACTGATATTCAGCATAATTTAAATTGAATCACATGTTTAGTTAATTTTTTCATAATGAAAATAAATTAAGCTTAACAAAAATCATGATATGGGGGATAAGTTAGGAAAGATATTTTATAATACCTATACATGTTGTGTGGCAAAAGAGAACCCATAAATAAATATGATAATTTGTACATCTATGGCAACAAAGATGAGCACCTACACGAATATGAAATGTGCATATGATGAAAAGTAGGTTGAGCCCACATAAAGGCCAAAAGGTCCTCAAGTTAATATGTTTATGAAACTTGTGCGACAAGGCGACAAATGTAAGATCGACCATTGAGCTATTAGACTAATGGCTTTATTTTGCAATGACTATAAAATACAATTTAGCCTTGCAAAATAAATCTTGATATGAATTAATTTGGCCAATTTTTTTACAAAATTTTAAAAAAAAAAAGTTGAGAGAAAATTATTTATAAGAGAAATAAGGAACCCCTATATAGATCTTCCCTATGAACATCTATTAGGGCCATTAGCGGCCCTTCAATAGTTAAAACTTACAATAGCCCACTGCATTCCTTTATGTCTAACAAAGGACTACATGCTCAAATCTGCGCGGAGGCCGGTGGTGTTTGCTAATAAAACAATCTTAAAACTTGAACAACGGGAAATATCTTAAATTAAATTACATTATTTTAACAAATAGATATAGAACTTGTCAGTTGGGTAACTATTGCTTCCTCTTCTCTCCATTATGCATGCCCTAAGCATCTCAACTAACTTTATATAACCCTAGGTTTTATAGATTTACTCTTTATCTCACTTAGTCACCCCAAAATATATCATTTGTACTTTTAAGACACATCCATCTATTAATCTTCATTTTATTCCATAAGCAGTTTTTTTTTTGCTTTGTTGTGTTTTCCAATGTTGCCAATACTCAGACACTTACAAAACAACTACACTATAACATTCTTAGAGTTTTTTACAATTAAATTGGCACAATATTGTCTTAAGTACACAGAGAAAATTCCTTCATTTTAACCCAAAGTGGATTTTTGTTATTATGGTTCAAACAAGAAACATTCCACAACACCTCAAGGTCATAAGCACGATATGATTAGCCTCGGCTCAAATAATGTAATTAAAAGTGTGTTAAAGAATGTAATTGCAGTCAGAGCACATTAATCGACCACAAAACACTGCACTGCTGCAAAGCGCCAGGGAGCATGTGTCATAATGCATTATTAATGCTTCAGTCCACCAAAGTGTGTTTCACCTTTAGGTTTGAACATGTTCTACAATTTTACCACCATAGACTCATGAACTAAAGAGTTTAGGGGCCAAGGTTGGCAATTCACGAACACATAACTTGACTTCATAGCAATTCTTCTCCTCAAATAGTCACGCAATTCCTCCACTCCCAGTTTTTTCATGCATGAACATGTCAACCAGTGAATCGACATCTTAATAAATCTTCACGCACAACTCTTGTTGATTTTTTTTTTCTCAGTATTCTCCAAGTAACATATTTATTGTTTCATTTTATACATTCGATTCTTCCAGCATTGAGTTTCAAATAATTAGATTACTTTTGACTTTTTGTTTCAATTTCTTGTTTCAACTCTAGTGCATGGATTTATTCCTCCTCTTGATTGGGTGTCTCTTTGTGGTATTGCAAGGAACTACCTTCAATAGTTTTAACATTCAAATTACATATCAATAGGATGCCCAACAAAATTGCCTAAAATTTTTTCTAGTTTTTATGTTAGTTGAATTACTAAACATGTATGTTGTAGTTTGTTTTAGGTGAATATTAGATTAATATATCGTCACACAAATTCATCTTTAAAATATGCATAAAATATTTTTTGACTTTAATTTTCAATTACTTAATGGTGATAATTTTTTTGACCCCACTTAGTGGGATAATGGTTTTGCTGCTGTTGTTGTTGTTGTTTTAATGGTGATAATTTTCTTATTTATATTTGACTTAAAATGCTAAGGATTGTTTCATAATTTTGATTTACATGAACATTGTTAAATAGCATAACACTTTATAAGATATTTTACAATATATGTGCTTTATTTTTATTTCGTGCGTGCTTAAAATAACAACTCATTTGCATGATGCATAGTGCTTTATGTGTTGGCACCTTCGGGTTAACTTTATGAATCCTTATTTTACAATAATATATATTGATTGTTGCATAAAACGTGAATCAAAATCTTTGCAAATCTTTTTGAACAATATTTATTCATGTTACCATAGGGCTACTTTTTTTTTCTTTGCAATCCTTCAATGCCAATTTCATCAATGTATCCAATGAGTGCATTTCTACATCATGTATAAAACATTCAAACTATTCCTTCGATATAATCGTTCTTTAGTTTATCCTTCCTAAATTTTCCATACGTACAAGTATTCTCATGTTCAATACTCAGTTTAAATATCAACATTTTATTTTCATTTTTTGATAGTCTAATTAAAGCAGCATAGCAAAATTGAAGTTTTATTAAATTTTAAATATTTAAATCCATGATACCCTATGATCACATAACATTTATAAAAAATTCCTTGATTTTAACCACACAATCATAGCCCTTAAAGTTATATCCTAACTTAAAACTATTTGTTATACATATTAGATCCAAGATAACTAAATATATCACAATTAACTATCGCTTTATCCTATAATAATATTGGTTTGTAATTATTAAAATTTCAGACTGAAATTGTATAACACATACTTAGCATTTATTATACTAATTCTATACTATTCTAACTTTCCACTTGTTTCAGCAGATGTATAATCGATTAAAACAATGTCAACTGAGAAAAGCATTCACCGGTCATTATTAATCTGCATATCAGAAATAAATTTATAAATTTTCACGAAAATAGACCCATTCAGTAAGCCCATAAACTTAGTACCAAAGTGAATTGCCCAATAAACACAAATTATTTGTTATTATAATGATGTGAAAGCATTTGTTCCACACATTGATGCTTTCATCATGTCGGTGACAATATTGGGAGACGAAATGTTCTGAGCCCACAAGACAACTATTAATAATTTATTGTTGTTTTATATATTGCGAGCGATTTCTCAATGATAGTAAAAGCCCATAATAAACAAAAGAACGCTCCTCGGAAATCAAATTTTCTTGGTGTCTACTAATTCAGAAATTTTATTAGCAATGATAGAGATCAACCTGAGCTACACCACAATGCATAAAATGTATCGTATTAAGATAACTACAGGTTTGGTGAAATATAATCTGCATGTGGAAATTGAAAACAGTTATCTTCATACTCTGTTATAAGAAGGTCCAACTCTAAGTGATCAATTTGAGCTGCTCCTACATGTCTATCAGGTGTCATGTTATAATCTCCAGTATAAACCATGCCATTAACCCCAACCTTTGCATAAATCATTGCAGCACCAAGAACCTATAATAAAAAATAGTTGTGTGAGAAAAAAAAAGCAGCCAATTTATAGAGGAAAATAATGAAAGAGAGAATCCTAAGAAGATATAAGGCAAGAAGACAACAAGTCACAATGAATAAAACATCATGCGAGCATATACAACAGCAGTAAGTCTTTATCCCATAAAGAAGACAACAAGTCACAATGAATAAAACATCAAGAGAGCATATGAACAAAAAAGAATTGTGAAGAAATAAAGACAACAGGAGCCAATGAATTCCAAACGTCTTCCATTTTCTAATACAGTACAACTACGAAGGACTGCCACTTATAGTGAAAACTCTTTGAAATTAGGGCTATTTACATACATAGCACACAGATCTTATTTATTTACATATCTCACACATAAGCCTTTCATATTTACCACTCTTGAAAAGTGAAATACACCTTTTCGTGCATAAGTCTAAAGCACTACAGTGTTATGCGTGTAAATATGAAAACTTGGGTGTGAGATATGTAAATACACAAGAATTGTTTATTATGTACGTAAATTTCCCTTGAAAATAACAGGAAGAATAGAATGTAGACAACACTGGGTTCAAATAGATTGAGATTGATATCCCGACAATAAATGTGTTGGCGAAAATGTTCATAGATTCCTAATGATAGATGTCTCCCCCCATGCTATCTCTTCCATCTCCGCCACTTCGACCCACAGCAACCTCCACCCCACCTCCCTGCCACCTCACGTACATGGATCCTTGCCACCATCTTACCAATCCATGGGAGTTACACTGTTGCACAAGAAAGCATCTAGAGACTGTCCAATTGTAATTATTTAGTGGTCATCTTTTTTCAGTCAATGATTTGTATATTTTTAGTTAGAATTTTTCCTTGGATTATATAATTTTTTCACAAATATGGGAATGAAAAACACTCAACTATTCTCCAACTCCTTTCATGGTATCAAAGTTCGGCCTTCGAGGAAGTTTTTTCATATCGTCTTCACCTCTTCCTTTCCTTCTTTCTAAAAAACTTTTCTTCCCATTTCTTTTCCTTCAATGTTCCTGTAAACACACTGATCCCTCTTCATTGACACTAACAATAATGCTCATATCCCCTAGGCCTCAGGTTCCTTTGGGATTGAAAGAAGCAATCCAAATTCAAAAAGAGAGGTACAACATATTCAATCAACTCACCTGTTGAATGAGAAAACTATTTTAAGGGCCCGTTTGGGGCAGCTTATAAGTGCGGTGGTGTTTTTTAAAACACTGTCTAACCGTTTGGTTTGTGCGTTTTTGAAAACGTTGTCTGTCGCATTTGAGTTTTTTACACTAAACGCAGGCCGCGGGTGGACCCCGCGGTCAACCCGCGGGCCGTGTTTCAGGATAAGCTGCTTATCTTGAAACGCACAAGCTGCCCCAAACAGACCCTAAGTTCTCACAATTGGTTCACATGTTCTTAAAGAGGAGAAAAATAAGGTCATTTACTTAGCACCGGACCTAAACAAAGAGATCATACATTTAAAGTTTGAAATAAATGAAACGCATTAGTGATATCCTGACAATGAAACTTTCTAGTTCCAAGAATGATTGATGTGTGAATGTTCCTCAATTAAGCAAAGAAACTATAAAATAGGATAAATCAAATGTGTCTAAGAATTGCGATTCCATATAAATCTATGAAATCAAAACAAAGATCTCATCCAAAAAGCAAGATAGGCAATCAATCACAAAATATTCCAACCTATTACAAAGCCTGTGATTAGAATTAAACTGTTATCAATACATCTAAAGGAGACGGAGCACAATGTGGCCCTTCCTAAAGGATATGTTAGAAAGACTAAATATAAGATTTCCTTGTTAGATTAAATGTTGAGTTCAATATTTTAAAGGTGCAAATTCCAAAAAAAGAAGATTAACCATCACCAAACAAAGTTATTTCCATCATCCAAAATGCAAAAGGAAAAAAAAAAGTGAATCGTGATAACCAGCAAAACTGTAGAGGCCTCTACATTTAATATTAAAGGTCATTGAAATAAAAACATCCGTCTCAAATCCCTCTTCTACTGAGGACAAAAAGCAGCTATTTTCAAAAAAAAAAAATGGGGCAACTGACCCTGGTAAAATACCCAAAAGAGAAACTATATGATTCACATTTTGCAAAAAAACTCGACATACAAGAAAAATGCTAAAAATTTTAAGGTGAGCCACAAAATAGAAACCGGACAACACAAGGAACATGGGCCAAAGAATAACGACATACACCAAACCACATATAACACGTGGGATAAGGTAACAACAATGAATAACTCATTGGGCTCCACAAAAAAGAAATATAAAAGCCAAAAAAAAACATGTTAGGATCACTGAAAAAAAAAAGATCTATGGCATGTAGTTGTAACATTCTCAGGTATTATTTCTAAGTCTTCAGTCTTTAAAGTCTCATAAATATCCAATTCTAGCATCAGAATCATCGATCCAGGAGTCACGGATTCATACAAATTAATTTCATATACTTCTTGCCCTCGCAGCAAAAATTAACCTTTGTTGACGGATTCTTAGATTGTTATAGTCGTCAAGGAGATATAAACAAATTTCTCACGTTTTAAAATATCTTTGTATGCCTAAACAATTTACCATGTTATCTGTCCAAAAGTTAACTATCGAGTTCAAATCCATAACATCAAAAGAAAAAGAAATCGAAAATGAAATAAAAAATGAGAAACATGAGGAACGATGAGGAGAAGTCATGGATAATGGTAGCTAAGAAAACATCCACGCCATTTTTGATTTCTTGCCATCCTGAAATCAAACGAGCCCTAGTACAGGAGATAATGACAGCTAAGAAAGTAGATGATTTGGATAATAAATTAGAGAAAGAGATCAACCAAATCAGATCAGGGATGAAACAAAGGCTCGCCACCATAAAGGATAGGTTTTCTTCCATGGAAAACCGAATGGATGACCGATTTGAGAGCAAGAGAAAAATTCGAGAGATAAAAAAGAAGTTTATTGAGATGCAATCCAAGACCCCGATGGCGGTTCGATTTGCAAATTCTAACTAAAGTTTGACTGGAGAATCCGGGGAAAGGTCAAAATAAAAAGAAATCGAAAATGAGAAACATGACGAGGAAAACATCCACTATCACCCCCTCTCAGGGCTTGATTAGGGATGGATTAGAGATTTCCGATGGTGGCAGTTGGGCCGAAACATGGATAAGAGATTATGTCAGAGGTATGAAGGAGCACGAAGAAGAAGGGAAAGAAGCAGGGAGGGGATATGGCTACGATCGCAAGAAGGATTTTTACTCTCGGTACATGGGGGGAAACGACGGAGGGAGAAGAAGTTAAGGTGGAGAAGTTAGAGTTAAGAAGTTGAAGATGCTAATATTCGAAGGGAAATACGCATATGGGTGTGTGTATCGGGCAGAGCGATACTCAGCGGTGAATGGGTTAGATGGGGAGGAGAAACTAATGGCAACAGGATTAATGTTTGGAGGGGAAAGCCTTAGCCTGGTTTCAATGGAGAGAGGCTAGATACTCAATTTGTTCGTGTGATGAATTTAAGAATTGTTTGTTGGAATATTTTCGAGCTATTCGGGAAGGACACCTACACGAATAATTTCTATGAGAGGACGGTCATAGAATATACGGAGAGATTTGAACTATTGTCGGGACGACAATTTGGGATTTCAAAAATAGGACTAGAGAGGAATTTCATGAAGGGCATAAAGCACGACATACAAACAACAGCCCAAATGATGGAAGACAAGAACGAGATGAAGAAAACCAACAAGTGCAACACACATGGAGCATCGTACGGAACTGCTACAACCACAATGATGCCAAAAAGTCAAACAGTGGAAGTCCAAAGATAGGTTGCATGGAACATGAATAATGACCACGACCAAGAGCAACACTCAAGCGCCTTACAAAGACTGAGATTCGGGAGAAGCAAGCCAAGGAGTTATATTTTTGGTGTGATGGGAAGTTCACCCAGGAGACCGTTGCAATGATCGAAAATTACAAGTTCTCATAGTGCAGGACGAGGAAGCAAATAATGAAAAAATATTCTTTGCTATGGGGGAGGAACACTTTCATTTTTTTCCACCTTGAGGACAAGGTGTCTTTTGGGGGGATTTATTGTTACAAGGGCGCCTAACCAAAGAGCAAATTTGTCTTTTGTAAGCCTAAGGGCAATTTAGTCTTTTATTATTTTTGTTGTTGGGTATAAATAAGCTTATTATATTTAAGGTTAGTTTTTTATGCATAAGATTGAGTTCTGAGTCTTTAAGCCTAGGCTCTGGGAGAGGTTTTCTACCTCTCGAAATGTAGGAATTTGGAGAGACAGCCTACCTCTTGAATTGGGAAAATATTTGCGTACATAAGATGTACGCAGCTCTGCGTACATCAGGGGTTATTCAGGGGGTACAATGGGGTTATATCCGGGTTATACTCCCTTATAACCTCCGGTATAACCCGGATATAACTCCCATGTACCCCCAGAATAACATCTTGTTGGACGCAGCGCTGCGTACATCTTATGTACGCAAATATTTCTCCTTGAATTTTAGGTGTTTATCTTTGTTTTCTTGTTGAGTAGTTTGATTTATTGAAGAAATATTATGTTTGCCTTAATTTTTTGGAAAAGCATGCTAATTTTGAGGTTGGATCGTATAAGTCACTGTGCTTATTTAATATATATAAATAAGTGTAAAGATGCCCTCACACTATATTAATTATAGCAAATCATTTAATTGCTTATTTCATTCAGTTCTTAACACAAATTAGCTTAGCTAGCTTTAAAATATATCATATAAAGATACCTAGTTCACTAGTCATCATAATGTAACGGAATGTATTAAATCCATCAAGTGAAATATGGAATTATTGTTACTGAACTTGAGAACATTTTTACAATATAAGGGCTCACCTCTATCATTCCACATGCACAGGTCATCATTAGCATATCATTGCAAACATATCATATAAAATATGATCTTCTATAACCTCATTGTTTTTTTATTACTGAAATTTCAATATATATACAATGAGGTATAAAATTTAGGCCTTCTATGACTTTTATCTTAGCAAAAGTGTGAGCATTATAACTCTTTCCTCCTAATTAAAATTTCGTTCCCAAAAATTTCTTCCATAATAATCAGCCGAATAATTGAAGAAATATTTGCTTTGTTTCTCTCTCTTTTTGTCGTGTCACCTATTTTTTCTATTTTGTGCCTCCATTTCCCTTTCACGTAAAATATTTGTTTGTTTTTCAATTCTTTAATATCACAATCTAAATATTCTTTATAGTTCTTCAATATAGGTCAAATTACTCCGCACATCAATTTCATTTTGTGACACTCCAATTTTAATTAGTGACTTATTTACAAAGCATTGATACATAAAAATATTGTGTGTATCAAATATACTTGCTAGTAATACTAATTTGTAAGCAAATTTCTTAATTCTTCTACATATTTCAAATGGTCCTATAATTATAAGACCTATTTTTTTCTCCTTCACCAGATCTACTTAAACCTTCATAATACCTTCATAAATTTGACCTTTAAGAACATAAATTTATCACCTTCAAATTCTATCATACTATGCTTTCGGACTTCATACTTCGACTCACGATCCTGGACAACTTTAAATCTATCTCTAAGTAACCAAATCTTAAAAGCGGCTTGATCGATTAATTGCGAACATTTTAGTTGTCTCTCCAACTCCAGCCCAAACTCAATATAATCTTTATATTCTGTGATATGATGCCTCATAAAATATAATATTTGTGTTGGGTTAGTAATTACTATTATAAACAAATTCTAACAATGGAATATGATCATCCCATAAACCTATAAAATCTAAAATGCATAACCTCAGTAGATCGTCTAACACCTAATATGCTCTTTTTAAATAATCAGTTGTTTGTAGATAAAATACTATACTTACATGCAATTTAGTATCCAAACTCTCATGAATGCTCTTCTACAATCTAGAAAGAACATGTCATGTCTATCTAATACATTTACTTTAAGAATTCAATGAATTTTAAAATCTTTTATTTCATAAATTTCCATGCTAAATTTATCACTGAGTTAATAATGACTAATAGGCAAAAAATACGATGATATTGTCAATCCATCCATTACAACACAAATGTAACCATGCCCTTATCGAGATTCGGGATAAATTATAGCAAAATCCAAAGTTATGCCGTATCATATCCACTCTAGCACCAATTATGATTATAACATTCCATTAGGCATTCGGTATTCAGTTTTTATCACCTAGCAAGATTCACACTTAGTACAACCTTTTTTATCTCAGGCAAACAAAATAATGCCTTTAAATCTTTACATATATTGCCCCTCATTTAGAATCTCTAAAAGCAAATAAATTTCTCTTGAAGTTCAAATATGCAAAATACTTCCTAATCACACCCTGCTGATCATTGATAAGATCTTTCCTTTTGCCTGCTTATATTTGATCAATCAGCTTTTAAAATTCATTATTGGCTTCTCCATATCACTTATTATTTCCTCTAGAGTACGATATAAAATCATATAATTGTTTGTTCCCTGATTAATTTGTGCTCTAAACTCCAACTATAATGCTTCTATATCGTTGATCAGCTTCTACTTCTTGAGTTAACATCTACCCTGCCTGCCCACAAGAACTTCTACTTGCATCAGCTATCACATTAATCTTTCCAGGATAATATCATATGTAAAAATCATAGTCATTTCATGGTTTTGACCAGCTTTTTGCCTCAAATTAAATTATTTTAGAGTGAATATATATCAAACTCATATAATCAACAACCATACTATTGTAGCCACCTTCAAATCATGCACTTCATATAGTTTCAACAGTGTAAATATATGCTATTATATTTTTGTTATGCATTAAAATACATCGCAAATTTTATAAGAATGCAGCATTGTATGTTTGAAATACCTTAGTTCCAAATGGAATTGTCAGCACTAGTGCAAATGCCAAACGTCTCTCAAGTTATTGAAAATTCTACTCAAGCACATCAGCTCAATCAAATTTAGCATCTTTGTCAAGATAGTGACAACGCAAGCTAAAAAATCCCTCTACAATCCACTTGTAATAGCCTGACAACCCTAAAAAACTTTGAATATCAGTCACATTAGTTAGCCCTAATAATTCTACCATTGGTGCATTACTTTCACCTTTTCAGGATCAATTGATATACCTTTCCACTTATGATGTATCCCAAACAAAGCAACCCTCCTTAACAAAAACTAACACTTCAAAAATTTGGCATATAGCTCTCAATAAATCCCATAATAATCATCAAACGATTGTTATGATCATCATTATTCTACGAATAAATAAAAATATCATCAATAAATACTATCATAAACTATCAAGTCAAGGTTTCAAGATTCTATTCCACACATCCATAAACATTTTTGGAACGTAGGTCAATCCAGAATGCATAACCTAAAAGTCGTATGCTTCGTTACGAGACTTATTCTTCTTAAAATATTTAAGAAAATAGATTCCTCACATTATAACCACATTCCTAATTCCAACTCAATATAAATCAAAATAACTTCTCATAAAAGATGGCAATATCTATCAATCTCGAATGAAAGTTAAGTTGACAGAGGAATTACAAAAAAATAGCATTTTTCACCTGAAAACCAAACTTTTCTCCTCTTTTCCCATCTTCCTCTACTTCCCCGTCTCGAACTGCCAGCTTTGCACTTGCTTATGATTGATAAAGTTTGCAGGAAACAATATAAGGTAATATTTAGTGCTTAGGGTTTTATATGAGCGTATGACTTATTCAACTTAAAGCCTTATATTAATTGATCCATCGTTGCATGCCCAAATACGAGTACAAAAGCAATATAAGTTATTCTACACAAAAACTAAACATAACCTTACATTAATTGATCCATCATGGCATTATATATCTTATAAATGATCAAATAAAATTATTGGATTTTATTTTAAAAAGTTTTAATAAATATTGTGAGCAATGAAAAATTGGGGTATTAATTTTTTTGTGATTTTTACCTTAGCAAAATTTTGAGCATTATTACACTCAAGCATCAAAAGAACCAAAATTTGAAAAATATTATGAAAGAGAATGGAAGATCTTCAAAACAAATAAACAATTGAAATCGATAAAAGTATTATAATAAAAGAAATATGTAGGATGTAGAAGAATTTTCACTAGAAAGCACAAATAAAATTGCTCATTAGAAAAGCAAAAAGTGTCTAAATAGTCCCTTGACTATTTACATGGTGTCATTTTAGTCCCAGACTTTATAGAAATGTCTAATTGATCCCCTGACTTATTAGATTGGGGCATTAATAGTCCTCTATAGGGATTATTTTAGCCCCACTTTAAATAGTCTGGGAGTCGATTTGATACTTCCATAAACTCTGCGGCTAAAATGACCCATGTAAATAGTCAGGGACAATTTTGGCATTTTACTCACTAGAATTACTCAAAACTAGATTGGTTGTCAAAGCTACATTAAAACATAGGGATTAAATAACTTGATTCATTTGTTATGGTTTCGAGTTCTTTATCATTAGTAATTTAATATGGACTGGAAAATATAAAATTTGATGTAAAAAATAAATTTTTATATAGTGATATCGAGGATGATGTGTAAACCGAGATACAAGAATAAAGAGGGTAAAAACTAAAAAAAGAAGTTGTATGGGTTGAAGCACTCTCCAAGTGCATGTTTCAAAAGATTTGCCCAATATGAGTACAAAAAAAATAAGGAAATCATGCATTATCTATAAAACACAACTTGATAAGGGAGTTGCAATATTATGAGTTTATGTTAATAACATTATTGTGAAAGGTAGCGATGTGGAAATAATGGAGAACTTGAAGGAAAGATTATTCAAAGTATTTGAGGTAAAAAAATTAGACAAGATATAGCACTTCCTTGGCATTGAGGTTACATATCCTTGACATGGAATCTTTACATCTAAGCAAAAATAATAACAAACTTATTGAAAGATACTTGGTATGTTAGGAATGTTGAGAGCCCCATGGAATTCAATCATTAACTTGAATATGCTCCAAAAAACATAAAAGTAGAAAAACATAAAATCAAAAACTTGCCAAATTATCAAAAGATTAACCCAAAATTTTATTGAGTCAATTCATACACAATCCTAAGACATCGCACCAAAAGAAAGTGTATAAGACTCTACAATATTTGATAGCGACCCCCCACCCAAGCAAATAAATTCTATTCAAAAAAGAGGAGGATTTGGCTCTTAAGAAATACAAAGATGTCGATTATGTGAGTTTTATGATTGAAAGTAGTTCAACTTCAAGATATTGGACGCTCTTATGAGCAACCTCAAGACTTAGACAAGTAAAAATAAAATAAAATAGAGTAGTGAAATCTATCATAGAAACATAATTTAAATCTAACATTGAAGGGAAAAAAAAAGTTAATCACAAAAACAAAAAATTATTCTAGAAGAGGTTAAAAAATTAAATGTGGTGATGAAATATAGCATAAAAACATAATTTAAATCTATACCATTGAGAAATTTTAAATTGCCAAGGCTAAAAATTATTCTAAGAGATTTAAGATTAAAATGGAAAGTTTCAATGAAACTCTAATAGTTATGTGCTAACATCATGCCGCTAAATTACATATCATGTTCTAAATTTTTGCTTCATTAATTCTAAGTTCTCTATCTTCTAAATAATTTACTTACAATTCTAAGTTTTCACTAATTGGAGCAGATGTTTTTCAATTATAACAATATTATCTACAAAGAGTATAAACCAAGTCATCTAGTTTTGAAAGTCCTTTATAAGCATATTCATAACCAAGGTAATAAGCATGTCAAAGGAGAATTTTAATTTAAACTAAAAGAGAAACGTCCACAGAGCCAGCAAATCACAAAAGTTTACACTTAGAGGATTAATACTGAAGAACAAGGACTTACATGTCCAGCATAGTAAGCACAGATCTGGAGATCTTTATCAACTTGTATAACTTGCTTCAGGTCAACAGCCGTTACTGTGACAAAGATAAACATCTTAAAAATGCATTAGAACTTGACCTAGTGATGTTTATAGAAAGAATGACCCGGAAGCAACTTGAACAAAAAGGGAAATTAGAAAAGGTTTTGATAGAATATCTATATATTTCAGTAGTTGTTTGCTGAAATTCTTAATGTTTCAAGTTCATAAGGCATTTGCTTTCTTAAAAAAAATCATGGAACTAAGAAATTGATTATGCTTGGGAAATAAATAAATTCACAAATGCTGGCATGCAACCTTTAGAGTCAATGTTAAACTTTGAATAATCCGTTTATGATTTTATGGTGCCAATTTGGGAATTAATAATCTAACAATTGGTCATTACCTTAAGCATCAAACTATAATATCTATAAATGATGCTACCAGTAATCAATAGTGATAATGGGTGTTCAAGTTGTCTGCCAAACCTTCTAGCTCAATATGCAACAGGATTCAATCAAAATAATGAGCAGGGTGGGAGTAAACAGCTAACTACACAATATGGCTCAATTCATAATGCTTGTTGAGATTCCGCTTCTTCCATGTTGATATATTTCCTTCTGCATTTTTCTTTTTTTTTTTACTTTTTTTGGGAGTTGGGTGCGGGTGCAATTTCTGACAGCAGTACTTGTTGTTCAAACCCACAAAATATCACTTTAGAAACTCAATGTAAAATGTAAAAGTAATTAAAAATCAAAAGGAGATGACTTTTATCAGTTTAAATTTACAATGAATATGATACAAGATTTATGCTTTTCAAGCTTCAGAGTGAACACTTAAAATAAACACTGTAGAAATATATATATTTTTTGAGAAAGCTCAAAGGCTAATATTTTAAAAGGAAATAAAGATACATATTGATTGTGTGGAAGACCCCAAGCATGAACCCTTCCCCCGCGATAATCATCACATACAAATGATTCCAAAAAAAAGAGAAAATACAGAAAATTACAAGAGAACTAAAGAAAAAAACAAAAAATGTCAAAAAACGTAGTATCAGGTAGCGAGAGAGCGACCCAATTTTGCTTTCTCTGTACCTCTAGTTCTATAAAAAGAGTAAGCTAATAAATTGGTAAGATCAGTGACATTGCCCGTAGTGACCAAAGTATCATCCAATAAGTTTCCAAGTTCGAGCTGGCCACCACTCTTCTTCTTCCTCCTGAAATAGACCTGTCATTTCTCATCCGAAGATTGGCTCGCCTGATCAGTGGATTGGTCTAAAGTGTGTCGGACATGTGTAGGATATTGAAAATTAGAAGTAACTGCTTGTTTTACTAGCTGATCTTTGATTGAATCAAAGAAGCACTCTCGTGTGTCTTGTCATGTAAGTGAATTTTCTTCAATAACAGTACAACAACAACAACAAAGCCTTAATCCCACTATGTGGGGTCGGCTACATGAATCCTTTTTCTCCATTGCGTCCTATTTAGTATCATATTTTCATTTAGTTCTAGTAAATTAAGATCATTTTTAATACAATAAGCCCAAGTCTTCCTAGGTCTACCTCTGCTTTTCTTAACACAAGTCGAATTTAAAACATCTACTCTCCTAATCGGATCATCTAATGGTCGACGTTTAATATGACCAAACCATCTAAGACGACTTTCTCTAATTTT